GAACGCGATATTATTCCTAACAATAATATTATATGCTTTGGCGCGTGAATACATTATTGGCTTTCTGTTCAAACGAAACACCATGCAAATCATTATTTATTTAAAATTGAACGTTTTAAAGCACCTTTCGCCAAGAAGAAACTGTTCCTCTTTTTCGAGATACTCAGACGACACCGTTTAATATTTCCTTTCATTTTTTTTTTTAATACAAAACATTGTTTCACGCAGAGATTAAGATGATTCCGAGAATAACTATTTCAAACCATTTCAGACACAATGGTTCTGATCGAAATACGTAACATACAAACTCGATTAACGTTAGTGTACCGAAACCAGGATTTTGTAACTGAACGAACTTTATGGAATGGGTTAAACTGTTAACCGCGCTCACTAATGTGTACAACCCTTCTACACACAGGACTCAATTGAAATTACAGTAGTTTGTACGGATGCCTTGTGGTAAACTGGTTCACCAGTGAATAGACGGACATGCTACACTATACTCTTGAAATGTTGATTCTACCGATTATCTTATTAACACGACTAAATTGCATATTTATGTACACAGACTTACGATGGAGGTGTTTCTTCTTGAATCTTGTAAATTAAATTTTGTATAATTATTGAGTATATCGTACATACAGTAGACGAATAGAATTATACTATTGCCTGTATCTCAGTGAAGTTTAAATTAAATTCAAAAACACAATTAAATTGTATATTTATACACAGAAACTTACGATGGAGGTGTTTCTTCTTGAATCTTGTAAATTAAATTTTGTATAATTATTGAGTATATCGTACATACAGTAGACGAATAGAATTATACTATTGCCTGTATCTCAGTGAAGTTTAAATTAAATTCAAAAACACAATTAAATTGTATATTTATACACAGAAACTTTCGATGGAGGTATTTCTTCTTGTATCTTGTAAATTAAATTTTGTATAATTATTGAGTACATCGTATATACAGTAGACAAATAGAATTATACTATTGCCTGTATTATTTCAAATTAATCTTAATATATATGTCATCAGTGAAATTTAAATTAAATTTTAAAAAACACAAGAAACGACTAGAATCGGTCGCTTAGTTCTATATCTATTAGAAAAATTGTGCAATTTAAATAAAACAGAGACAAATATTGCTGGGTATCTTTTCTCTTAAATAAATTGTTGGGTTTTTTATTGTAATTTTTACATCGCACCTCGCTTAAAAAACGCTTCTCCTTTGTTTCCCAATCGCGCACACATTTTTTTTCCTTCTCACCAATCATACCAACCCAGCAAAAGCTAGATATTTTCACATAAATAAATGAAATGTTCAAACGTGAAAGATTTACTCGCTAGTAAAGGTATAATGGTGTACTTATTAGTTCACATTATTCCTGGTTACAGTAATGTTGTTCAACAGGTGTATCAACGTTCATTCGTTCTAAACGTTTTGATGAAATGTAAATTTGAAACGTTCAATTTGAAATTTGCCCAACTCTACAGAGTGGTAGAATTTGGTTAGATAATAATTAATTTGTTTAACACGTTCACAGTCCGGTTGAAATCGATGACAGCTTTGTATCATGAAGAATATTAGTCATAATAATACTAACAGGCCTGACAAACGAATCGTGTTCTTCAACTGCAATACAAACATTCAATATGACCGAAACCAAAACCTCATATGAATACATACCAACCCAAGATCAAGCTATTATTCTGCAATCAATCGATGGAATCACCATTAAGGAGTATGTCTGGACAATCGGTAACATAACAGGACCCAAAGCTACATATAAAATATCTATGAAGGATCTCCAATGGAAAATCTGTATGTACCTAGATAGCAAAGAAACGGTTAGAAACGTAACTTTTAAACACAAAACTGTGGGGTTATTTTTATTGTGTGGTATGCCTGGTGAGTGAGTGGGGAATGAATGAGTGTGGATGTTGGCAACGCTGGGGCGCGAGAGGGGGACGCGCGGAAGTCCCATGTATGGAGAGAGTGTGATGCACACGTGGAGAGAACATTGTGAAAAATATATATACGTTAATTTGTTAAACAGAAAGAGGCTCATTTAATTTGACTACCAAATTCCTCCCACAAAAACAATAGCAATAAATAACGTAAATATAGCAATCCGCCCAATGGTATTACCGGCCATAAAAATCATATTATCAAATATCGCACCTATAATTCCCAACACAGCTATCGAAAACGTTTTCAGAACAAATAATATCAAATTGTACTAAAAAATAACCCCACTAAAAGCAGGAATCGTCGACCCGGACCTGTCGTATATTCTAAGCTTCAGGAGACAAGTCTACGTAGATCCAGAAGGTGCAACACAAATCCCGGGCTCCTTTCTTATCACGTTAGAAAATAACACCTACAGAATATTCGCCTCCACGGAAAAACAGACATGTTTCAGGTGCAACCAAAAAGGACATATTGCCACGCAATGCCCTAACAACCAAAATCCAAAGGGAACCAGCCCACCAAAAAATGCCAACCTTCAACCTTTCCCATCGCCCCACACCGAAGATCGGCCTAAAGAAACGGAAATAGAAATAGAAATGCCAAATACACCTGAACACATAGAACCAATGTCGCTAGACGACTCTAACACAACAGAACCAACAGCAAGAACATTAGATGACTCGATTGCAGATAAAATAAATAGCAAAAGACACTTATCCACAACTTCAGAAGAATGTAACACAAAACCAGTAAAACTAAGCGATCGTGAATTCAAGTCACCAGGCGCAGTACCCCAAAACCCCCATAGGAACCCTGAACCAGTCTCTAAGAAAACAAAACGGCCCCCATCACCCGCCTCTTCGCTAGACAAAATCGACGACATGCTGGAACCAGCCAAAAACTACATTGAAGACCAAGGAAACAACCACGTGCTAAGTTATATGCAATTTAAAAGCTTCCTAGAAAACTCAATCACAGTCCCAAACCCTTTAGAAATTTCAAAAACATACACAACCAACACCCTCGCCTTAGCTAGAATGATTCTAAAAATCCACTCCTTGCTTAATGAACGTAGTATGAAAAACAGACTACACAGACTGCATAAAAAAATAATCCAGAACTCCTCAACAAAAACAGCCACCAATTGGTCATCGGAAATAGAGAGTGACTCCTCTTAACCACAATGAAACATATTATTCAATGGAATATAAATAGCTTTCACACGTAATATAAACAACTACAGCCCCTTCTTAACCAACACAACCCATCCATCATTTGCCTACAAGAGACAAACCTCAAAAAACACCACCTCCCAAGGTACGTTTTTGGACCCGATAAAGTTGTCAAGCCATTTTCGGATCTCATACACTGATTGGAAGTGCATATCGGATAAGACGTGTTGCATCGACCGGAACAGGTGATAATCAGATGGAGCAATGTCTGATGAATACGCCGGGTGCTGCAAGACGTCCCAGCCAAGACTTATTATGGTGTTTTTTGTATGGGTAGCAATACGTGGCCTGGCATTGTCATGCAACAATTTCAATGGACGTTCTCCTTTGCCAGTATACGGACGTTTTCGTTCCAATGATTGACTCAAGCAGATTAATTGACGTTGGTCGCAGTCCGCAGTAACTGTTTCACTCAGTTCCAACAACTCATAATAAACCACGCTCTTGATATCCCACCAAATGCATAGAAGAACCTTCTTTCCGAAGCGATTGGGTTTTGCAACGGATGTTGATGCTTTGCCTGGATTTACCCATGACTTTCTGCGTTTCGGATTGTCATAGAGTATCCACTTCTCATCGCCCGTAACGATTTTCCACAAGAAAGACCTTCGACGCTGCTTATTGTGATGAGAAAGACACGCTCCACTCGTTGATTTTTGGTGGTTGCAGTGAGTTTATGCGGCACCCATTTTCCTTTCTTCTGGATCTTTCCCATCTCACGTAGGCGTTTGGAAATCGTTTGCTGGGTTACTCCTAACTGTTCTGCAAGTTCTTTTTGCGTTTGTGCCGCATTCTCAGCGAGCAGCTGTTCCAAATCATCGTTGTCGCACTTCCGAGGACCTCCAGGGCGTTGTTTGTCGATTAGACTCAAATCACCGCTTTTAAACCGCTTAAATCAAAATACGCACACATCATACGATACAACACCTTCACCGAGAAAGGAACAAATCGATTCGCATGCTCTTGCAGCATTTTCCCCTTGTTGGAATTTGTAAAGAATGCAGTGTCGGATATGCACCTTATCTGTTGCCACTTTCGACTCTACTGAATTGAATACTTTTGAAGGTTATGTTGGGCCTTACGCTAAACTGTCTTTTGTTTTAATTAGCGATATGTCAACACTATATGACCGCAAAAGAGCGGGAATATCTATTGACATCAAACTTGACTTTATAACTGCTTAAGATAATTTGAATTATTCATTTGTACACCTAATAAAAAAAAAGAATTATTTTTACATTTGTAAAAAATAAATTTGGGGTAAGTTGTTACGGTAACAAGATACCTCGAGTCATCGGAACAACTAACCCCAATTGACATATGTGGCAATGTTTACAAATATTTTGTTTATATGTTTAAATGTTCTAATAAATGCTATTACAAATGTTATTTGATTTATAACGACAGAACAATAAACAATATTGACATTAAATAATTGAATACGATAAAAACATGATGACTACGAAATATTTGCTTACGTAATACGAAACTACCTCTTGTCAAAAACTACAATTCGCTGTCACGGACGCTATTAAAATGTTCGACAGCATGGCGTGATCAATTTATGTTTTCAAAATAATTGTAAGCACAACGCTATCTTTTTTCATCTTAAAGATATAACTTCTAACCCCGGTCTCCCCTACATAAAAATTTCGATAATCAAAAATAAGGTCCACCCTATTCTCCATAAAAAATTACTTGTAAGCTTCGAGAGCACATGATCCTATGGGTGACCCGTATACGGGTCACGGGACAGTGAACGTGTTAGCAAATTTATATTCTATTTTTAGGTGGATCGTGCGGTGAACGAGGAGGGCCAGGGAGGGGGTGGTCTGTCGACATCTTCGGCGGGCTGCAGCGGTGCTTCCGGTTCGAGGATGGGCCCTGGGCCCGATTCCGGTAGCAGTGCTCCCTCTTCTGTTCCCCACTCGCTGGCGACCTCGAGGGACGAAGAGGACGACGAGGACGAGGAGAGCAGCGGGAGACGATCAAATGGCCACTCAGGAACGCGGTGAGTAAATCCAATTTCTTGGACCCTTTGTCCTGAATAATCGTGCCCTACCTGATAGTTGTCCCAACACCACACATTTCCCTGTGCACCGAGTGATGAGCACTCCGTACGGAGGATCGCGTCCTCGTGTTTCCATCGTTGATCGATCCGAGATCTACCCAGAGGAGGTTTCGTCGATGTGGACTCGACGTCTATTCCTGTGGAACGATTGCACCTAGTAGAATCGATACGTTTCCCGTTGTTCTCCATTTCCTTGGTAAAGTTTCTTGCGCCTCGACACGAATTTTTCTCGTTCTTCCGTTGGATTTCGTCATGGCGGTGGTACCGCTAACCGGTGTCAGCCTATAACTTTATTCTAAAATTCTAGATTTCTTCCCAAATATATCTGAGCGGTTGCAAAGTGCAATGGGATTGTCTAATTGTTTGCATAAATCATCTTGCGTATAAAAGGTACAGTTTCTTAGCGAACGATAAGGAAAAATATCAGAAAATGTGTGATTACGAAATAATGAAATATCGTTTAAACTATTCTATTTTCGATAACTTTAGTTCGTATCTTTCTTACGCAGAATAGTTTAAATCTTTGCGTGCAAATAAAATTAGACCGTTCCATACGAAAAAAAATTACAATCACGCCGATGTACTTGAGGAAAGAATCTTCCGAAAGAATAATGGTTGTCATTACCCGTACATAATATTCTCCTATTTCACTCTGTCTCCGTTTAGAACAGAGCTATACCCTGCCCCAGTAACTAGATCACTGTGTACATATACTCCTCGTTCGTAGGAAACCTTACCGTTAAGTCCTTCGTGTACACACAGAGTTCCAAGTGTCATCCTAAATCATTCGACGTCACCCATGCACACGCTGGACATTATATCTCTATTTTATTTTCTGGCGTTCGTATTTCTTTGTTCCACGTTCCTGGAAAGAAATTCCAATCGAGAGACTCGATTCTCGCGTCCGATACGTTTATTGAAATATTTTATCCGATACGTTGACGATAATTCGCACGAAGCATGAAACGATACGGAATATTAACTCGAGGTCGTAAAAAATCAGTAAAAAATGAATGTCGGTACAACGAGAACAGCAAAACGATTGTCGCGAGCTACCGTCATGTTTGACATAACATATTGCACGACGATTCGATAAATCATTTTGCATTGATTTTATGAAGAATTGAATTCGAAACGATTTTCTACTATTATTTATAAAGAAATTCTCTAGTTCCATTCTCGATAATACAGATAAAGATAGCAAAACCACGAGTTTTAACTAGATAATCCAGTCGCGGTAAAATTAACATCTGCGAGGGAGATTCAGCGAACGAAAAGACACTACAAAAATAATCTAAGCGATTTATAAAATGTAATGAAACGCTAGAATACGAGTAATTTTCAAGGCGTTCATTCGTCATTGGGGATAAAGGATTACGTGAATAAACTCTCGACGAGTAAAGGATGACGAATGGAAAGTGTTACCATATTCTATTACAGTTCTAGCCTTTCTTTTCGCAACTACCGTCTGTTTCTGTCAATGATTTTTTTTAAATAAGCATTTCGAAATATCAAAATAGCATTTGCGTAATTTTTCGGATAAATCTCGCGACTTTTATATTATTGGATGGTCCAAAGCTTGTGGCATTGTCTTCCGCAGACTTGGTTCTTTGTGCGCAGACGCGGCGCGAAAGACTCGACAATCGAAACGCAGATAAAACTTCTCGGTTATACGAAGCGAGTCGAATTTACTATTCCGAAACGTTCCGTTTCTCTGTTTCGCGCGACGTATTGTCTCTGCGTGAATTTCCCACACGTCTTGCACAATGTATTTAAATTCAGCTAGAATTTATTACCACGATAAATCCGATGGAAGGCAGCGCAACCGCATCGAGCGATGAGAGCTAAGAATCAGTGCTGATTTATGACTGGTACAAGTCGAGTCAACGACGTTTTTGCGCGCGGAAATCTCTCTAACAAGCTGTCAAAATAAATGAGAAAACAGACAAAACATCAGGTACTCAGAAAAATTTTTCCTATTTCTTACGCGAACGATTAAAGAAACATATTTTGATTGTAAAATGAATTTATTCGTCATAATGTGAACCTTCGTAATGTAAAACATCCTTCCAACAGTTTAATAACTTATTTTCTAGGTTTCGTTGCACATGTTAGTTTCTAATCAACGGAATTTTTTAAATTATTATTAACAAAAATCTACAAGAACCTTTCTGGGTAGCTAATATTAAGTTGGTAAAGGAAATAATTTCCAGGAACATGAAGAAGGAAATTAGTTTATTATTATATGTATAAGTTGGCTAACAAAATGTTCTTTTTGAAAACTTTTGCAGGTAGGAATTTTGCAGTATTACTGCCTCTTGAATTCAAATGAAATTTAATCGTTGGGACAGATTTAATAATCTCGTAATATCTGATAATATTCGTATTCGTTTTATTGTTAAAAACCATTTTAAATAAATTTGTTCCATTTTAGATCTTTATTGAAAAAACATTGTTAGAATATTGATGCGAAATGGTCGTACAGAAGCAATAGCCGCGGCTAATTTCGAATTTTGACTCTTAGGGACGGATATAAACGAAATATTTCTATTATCTCTGTATTCTTGCATAATTAAACGGATATCCACGCTTTATGAAATTTTGTAAGTCTTACGAAGAGTATCTAAAACTGAAAGAATGTTACGAGTAAATAAAAGATAGTAGATTACGAGAAGTATTTATCTGAATTACAAGGAATATTTTGTTAGCTTAAAATAACCTGTGTTAATTTCTTTATTTTACATTTTCAAAAATATTCTACATAGGGGAATACCTAGCATGCTCATTTTAAATAAATTATAAATTATATGACCTACTTTGGTAAATAAAAATTGCACTTTGAAAATTTTAGTTATTTTCCTTTTCGAATTTTAAATAAAAGTTAATTTATTTTTTATTCGAAATAAACCCAATTTAACGAGATATTTTGCTCGGTTTCTCGAAAATTTGCATTGCATAATATCAAGTTCAAGATCAATGTCATCAAAGATTTCTGTATGCTTCTGTATCTTCCGTAGCTAGTGGCAAGCATAATCGACGATGGCAGTAAAATAACATTTCTGGCGTCGATAAACACTGCCAGGTAAACATCTTTGTTTGACTGATATCTTTAACGATATCAAGTCTTCAGCATGATGTTACGCTGAACAAATTGTCGAGAAACAAAGGATAAACATCCTTGATTAACTACTAGGTTTGGATCCAATAACTCGAAATCAATACATTTTTCATTCATGATTTGATATTCTTTCGAATTTTGGTGTTATCCATATGACATTCCATTTATAAAGCAAAATTAAAAGTATACCACTTATAAAAAAAGTAAAAAACAAAATATAAATGCTGTTTAATGCTTCTTTCAAAATTATCCAACAATTTTTCATTTATCACGTAATTTATGCGTTATTCGAAACGAGTATATTAGGGTTTCTCCTTATAGAATATATCAAGAAATAGGTAATTCTCTGTGGAAAAATAAATCGAAATTTAAAAATAAAATGTGTTTGCATTGTCCGTCGTTTTCGAGAAAGTAAATGATAAAAATTGTAATTCATTTATGTACAAAGTATGCTACTTTTAAGTCAAACGCTTTTCCATTTACGTGCAATGGATATTTCTTTAAAAAATGTAGCTATTATTTTTTAAACGAAATTAGTAAAAACCAAAACAACTTGGTAAGGTTTATTATATTGTACTGTGTCTTAAATATTGTAATAATTTATTTATCACAGTAATTTATACATTTATAAGTATAACGATATAAAAATAAAAACTTATTGAAAGTAATTTCTTTTAACTTATAATCACTTATACTTACACATAGTTATTATATATCGACAAATTTATCAAAATACTATAGTTACAATTTTAGACTATCTTTTGGAACATATTAAAATTTAATAAGTTTCTAAACTGTTATGATAGTCGAGAAAGGCTCTATTTAATTAATGATATTCTAACGAAAAACAATTTTCTCAAAAACAAAGTACAAACAAAGATTATATATTTGATTTATTTTTCACGCAGAATGATTTTACTCGTATTTATGCCAGGACTGCACAACTGGCGGCTCAGTAGTCACGCTTTGCTACCACGTTTATTCCATTTCCATCGCAGCACTATAGCTCATCGTGAAAGCTCTCCCCACTCTCGTCTAAGGCGATTATGGGCGGAGTGACCCTCGATGAGTGATAGTGGGAGTAACATTCGATCCATGCATCGATCCTACTTTACATTTGTCGAAAGATACAAAGCAGGACAGATTGTAGACATCATGATACGTGATACTACGTGGCTACTAAACCTGTCTGATGTTGTGAGCCCTGATTTATCCTCTATGAACACATTTGACCACAGTATCCTCTACAAGGAATCAAGAATCGATCCTTCATAGTCACAACAGTAGCGATCCTCTTCCTAGTAGAACATTCTCTATGTTCATTATTCTTCCCATATAATACACGAGGCATTAGGTTCTTACCACAGAGTCCCGAGTACCGGAAAAAAAAACTCGGTCGAAGGATGATCTCGACGAGTCTTACGGTCACGGAAGTACATGCAAGAAAGAAAGATTCCCGACGATCGTTTTCTCTGTTCGAGAAGCGGCGGTTAACGTCGCATCTTTGGAATATTCTTTGAGAAGAAAAGGTGCAAGCATTATATTCTCGTTCATGGAACGAATCGATACGATGTCCCGTTAATCCCGGTGAGGTTGGCCGTAGGAAAGAGGACCTCGATATTGTACAATGCGATGGAGATGGACAGACGGACACAGAGAGAAATGATGAGCGTGATCGCGTGCGTGCGAATGTACGATAGAGGAAAACAGCGTGGAAAAAATCGTGAAAATGGAAAGAAGAGAGAGAGAGAGAGAGAGAGAGAGAGAGAGTGAGAATGAACGATAAATTTTTATTGTTTGCTCTGTTAACGATCGCCATTGAAATATCAAAGGCTCGAGGCTTTCCCTCGCACTTTCGGTACTCGAAGCGAGATAGAAGCACGAAATAACGAGGCTGGGGGAATATTTTCACGGAAAAGTATCGACATCCGGATGGAAAGAGTGCAATTTGTTTATTCTTTCCTGAGGGGCAGCTTTTCTACGCTTGTCTGAAAATTACGCGGAAGTATCGCTTCTTTGTAGAGGAAAGAGGCCAATTACTATTTCCCGTACAACTTTCTTGACGTTAAAATTAATTTTTTTCAACGGCGGACGATTCTTGAATCCGTTATGCGTAAACCTTTGGAAAGTTCGCGTGAAAAATTACAGCACGAAGCATTTTCAAATTTACATGGAAGCGGCGAACACGATAGTTTAGAAAATATAATTTAAATTCTGTAATAGACTTTCATTTATTACCATTTATAAAAATATTTTTCTTATCGGTTAGAGTTTTAATTATTGTAGCAAAAGTAACTTTATCATTCGTGACCCGTAGTTTTAGAATTTTATATAAAATTATCGCTTTTTTAGCTTCGAGGTTCGAAGTTTTATTTCAATTAGTATTCGTAAAGTTTTCAACCAGTACACCATTTTGTTTTCAAACAATTGGAAACCACTTAACCCAACATTTGCCATAGAACTTATTTTTGAAACCTCATCGAAATTCATGAAATTCTATTTTTTCCTTGCGAAGAACCTTCGTGAAGCGGATTATTGATCGAGGCGATTCTTATTTTCTTCCATGTAGAAAAGCTTCGAGAAGCTCCGATCGCTTCTCCATATATTGTCTCGTCGCGAAGTTTATATTTTACGTTTTGTCCAGTAATTTTTCATAATTCTCAATGCGACTGTAAATTATAACAAACTTGAAATTCTTACCTTTTGAGGTTAACAGAAAAAACAGGATTAAACACTAAAATCTAAAATATAATACATCGCAAATATATACCGAGAAATTAAAAATAGGAATTCTTTTTATTTTCAACTATGAGTTCGTTAGAATGTCTACTTTTCTCGGTACGAGTTTTAAGTTTCTAAAAAAATATTCATTTCTTGGGCACCACCATTGCACAATTTTCCACCTCGAAGATAGCGACTTCCACTTTAAGACGCAACGCGCATCTTATTGTTAGACAAGCAAATTAAATAACGAGTATTATCGTGACAATCTCATTCATTGTCGATGATTAATTACAAAACAGGACAAAATTCGGTAACTAATGTAACATAAATATCTTCGAAATTACAGAAGCTCGAGAAAAGTATTTGTTATGACAAATTGCAAGAAAAGTACAATAAGAAAAAAAATTCAATAGTTATCGTGGGATAAAAAAAGTCGCCTCGTCGTTTGAGGGGGCAGTCTCATATTTCGTATAGCCTTCGCGGTAATTACGAAAAATTTCGAGAGGTTTAGGCAGGATCAAGAGACATCTGCTATTTTTAAAAGTCGGAATTCTAGCATTTACGCCATTTGGGTGCCAACACTGGAAGAAAAATCTCAAAAACTATATATTCGATTGCTCTGAAATTTTTGCACGTTGTTCCACATACTAATAGCTCTCGCCCGAACCTACATTCTATTTTATAATGAATGTATCATGTTCTTTTATTAAAAAGTTGCGGAAAAATTACAAAGTTTTGCAATTTTTAATTTAAGCTTTTGCCATTTTGGCGATAACAGGAAGCCTACCGAATAAAAATCTTTCTAATTTTTTTGATTTAGTCAACCTTGAGAGCTGCAATCACCTACACCAGTGTTTAAACACATGTTTACTGGGGGCGTGATAACAACATGAAAAGTCAATAAAAATGATATATTTATTTTGTATTCCCAAAGGATAGTTAAGTAAACAGCGGAAATGAATTATAGCGTTAGATGTAACATTTGCATAAAAAAAATTAATAAGAGATGATTAAATTTTGCAACGTTTACATGAGACTGTCCCCTTAAGTGTTCTCAAACAAGCCTTTGTCACCTTTACTTTTTTAACCAAAAAACTTGGGTACGAGAAAGTTGTCCCAAGTTGTCTTCGTATCTGTCGTCGTGTTTCCTAACTTCGTGTAATTGTTCAAGTCTAGTATGACCGGAGTGTAGATAGAGAGAGAGTGAGAGAGAGAGAGAGAGAGAGTATGCGTGCAAACGAATGAAGACTGAGAACGAGTAAAAGCAAGGAATGAAGATAAATTTGAAGTGTGGGAAAGTAAAGAGACGATCAAGAGGTGGGGACTGTAAAAAATGAAAGAGAGGAATTCCCGGATGGCAGAGCGAATGGGCTAAACGAGAGGGAGAGAGAAAGTGAGTGAGAGAGGCAACCCGTCGGGGTTCTGTCTTCTTCGCAGGTTATCGGAGCTGTACCGTCGAGGCACCTCCTCGAGCCACGGAGGGTCCTTGGAAAATGATGCCCCGGGACTTAGCACAACCTCAACAACCTCGGACTCCTTGGAGAGCAATGACCTCGATACCGAGATACCAGCTACCGCCAGGAGACCCCGTAGTACGAGGGGCTCGCAAAAATGGAGTAACGTACGCGCTGTCATGGCGCTATATTCCTCTCTACGCAAGATCAAGAGGTACTCCCGTCATTGCTCGATATGGACGGTAACCTCTGAACTGCACTCTCACGTCCGCCGTTACACTGGTACACGTACAAATAAACGTATACACGCGCAGTACACGAACGAACAGAACAGGTTCCGCACCAGGGGTGAGCACAATTCGAATCGGTTTGTAATAGGGATTCTAAACTTACCAACGTTTTCATTTGATGGCAATTCGGTAAAACTATCAATGGAAACTGGTTTACCGATCATTTATGCTTACTCTATCATCACACGCGACTAATACGAACAGACCTTTCACCCAATGTATTTATCGGCCCATTTTTGGGGGGTCTCGAGACCCATTACCATTTTCGTGTCACGCGCAACATTATCAACGGGTTTAGAAATGAACACAAGAGGAACTGAGACAGAAAATGAAATTACAGAAATTTGATTATTTTTTTAATGGAATAAAAGCTGTACGGTCCAGAATTGGGTATCAATCGATTAATTTCTTTGACGTTCTACAAAAATATTGTGTAATACTTTTTTGTAGATATCCATGAGCTGTACTTCAGAAATAAATTTCATTGAAATACATTCACTATTGAAGGAGTTATGGGCGTTTGAAAATTGGACCATTTTTATGGTGTTTTTCTCACTTTACGTTAAGAAACAACTTTTCAAACATTCTTAAAGATTCTAAATTTTCTTAATCAAAATACGCTTTGTCTGCATTTTCAAACATATAATCCTCCTATCCGTTCAGGAGTTATGAGTTTTTGATAAAACGCATAAAATCACTTCCGAATTTTCATGGCAATCAAATTGGGTCACAAAAGTCCATAAGGTGAAAGGTTTACTCGTATACCTCATCTGTGCTATTATTATATGTGATTTTACCGGTAAACCGACTTACCGATATAATCACTAATTTTTAACTGGCATAAGGTCATCGCGCTGATACGTCAAAAAATATAACGACAAGACATCAATTCCTTGATCCCTATTACATGAATTATAGCGGATGGACAGTGTTCATACGTTTCGACGGAGATTTAATTTTCCAAATACACTATTTTGTATTCGGTACTTAATTAGCAAGGAACAGAAATATTGTCTCAAGTCATACGTGTATATATCAGTAGTTGTTTTTCGACTATTGTACGAACAAAGAAATAAATGTATACCGAATACTATGAAGCATTCAACCAGAAACGGATTACGAAGAGTCAAGTGTTCGTTGTGCGAATACTTTTCGAAAAACATTTTGCACATCCCTGTACTGCGCATACGTGGCTCCCCCTCTCTCTCTTTCTCTTATCAGTACGCACACCGACAAGAGTACGCAAGTACACATTCCATTCGGCCCCGTTCACGATGTAAATCTGACGCCGGAGATTCGTCGAGGCGGAAGCCAGTGAACGAAACGGGTCTCGGCCCAGACTCGCGAAAGAAGAAGAAACCGTAGCCAAGCCCCGGGGCTACTTTGTTTTCCCCGCGTTACGCGTCCCCGTCGCGCCGCTCTGCCAACGATATTCCCCGAGCGACGTTTACGGAGAATTCCTGCTGGCATTACGTCGCTGGAATTCCTTTTGCTATGGCGGGGCTGGCTTCAACAGACTTTAAAGGGGTTCCCTCGCGTCTCGACCCGAAAAATGGTGTATCATTAGGACTTTTTTGAAACGAAAGTATACAACGTATTAAACTGCAACTTCTTCTGATTATTAATACGCTTGTAGTTAAATTTCGCAAGCAACACTTTAGATAATTGTTATGGTTCTTTATACATTTTTGTACGATTAATTGATCAGAGTCAGTAAAATACGAGATAGAATCTAGAATGTTGAGGAATTTAAGCAAATGACTGTAAAATGGGCCAATTTCAGGAATTTTGTATATGATACATTAATTATATTTTAAGTGCGTTTCATAATCTATCAAATTTTAATTATCAAGTTGTATACTTACATGTAAATAAACGCAAGAATTTTCTAAAGTATCATTCGATACATCCTTAACACTAGAAAGACTGAAACTTAGTATATACCTATATTACCCAAAAGCAGTCAAAATGACTGTATTGTGAAAGAATAACTAATGTGTAAAGAAATTTGTTTAAAATTAATTTTTAATATTAGGTTTTAATATTATGAATTTAGGTTGCAAAAGAAATAAAATAAACAACTTGTTAGAACAATTATCATTGCATAAAGATTCGAATAACAAGTACATACTACTTTAGCTTATTGAGAAACTACATACAACTTATCAAGTATACGCCCAAATTGACAGTTTATCATGTGTTGGTAATCGAAAAAAAAATGAAAACTGTTATTTCAATACAGAGCCGAACTGGTCATATAAAAAAACTCAATTCAATAATAAGAGTCATTTGATTATTTAAAATTTCCCAAGCAGTCAAAATGACTGCTTCTGGGCAATATAGGTATAACACATTAAATGAAGGAGGGGGGAGGTAACTGCAATTATTAATAAACGCATTTATATGTTGTACAAAAAGTCACAAAATTTTAAGAAATTGTGTCATTATATACATAATTGTTTTTCTAATTGAAATTAAAAAGCAATCAAAATGACTTCCTTGTGCAATCTAGTGTTAAGGAATTTTAAAAATAGATTTTTTCGAAAACTAAGAATGAAAAATTTGTACTGGCAATTTTTTACTTATTTTTATACAAAGAATCACTTCCTTTTTTATTGTAACACAAAATGGTTCAGTTTAATAGGTTTGCTATCTTTCTGGACGAAGTTGCAAATATTGCTCGTTTTTCTTACCCGAGATGCAAAGAAGCCTCTTTAATCCTTTCTGTCCCATCAATTCCACAGAGCACCTCTAACGTTGAGGTTAATAATTTAAACAATATAACAGATAGTGACATTAGGAAACGTAAGTTGTGTCTGCTTATAGTGAGTCGGTAGTTGTGTTATTATAACAATTGAACATTACTTACGTCGGAGCATGCACATTGATAATTTAGAAGTACATATTTTATTGTATTCGTAGCATGATATTTTATTTCAATAAATGAAAAGAGTTAAATTTCGAATTTCTTAATATTTCTGGATGTATAAATGCGTTCCGTGATCCTATCGCACAGATGCTTTCGAGCGAATTATTTTCTTTTATTAAAATAATTTATTCGGATTAGAAAGGGTTAAAGGTGTTGTTAATGTCTGCGGTAATTTGTATTTTCGGGGCTCGTTGGGTGTATCGAACCGTCACATTTCTCACGAGTCTTAACGCAGATGTATAACTACGTTTCGTAAAGGTTTGACAAGGGTTGGACCGTCGTTTCGTTCAGATTTCGTCCATTTTTACTTGGTGAACGCGTCATCCGGTGGAATCGTGGCCGCACGAAAGTATTGGCTATCCGCTGGTCACCGCAACGCCATCCTTTTCGCCACTCTATCTTAGTCTGTAACGTCGACTTTACTGCATAGTACATACGCTCCACTTTGTATTAGATGACATGGCTGATGGCCGATCGTTGTACCTACTTTTTCAGCGATTCTCAGCGCCTACTTAAAAGTAGAGACTGCTCGTAGAGATAAGAAGCGGACAGCTCGGGTTCCTTCGTGTTTCGGTTAAAAGTATGTACTTCTCTGTCGGACGTCACTCGTCACAACGAGAATATCGATCGTCAAATTAGCGGAGATCGGGAAACTTGGGCGTTCGTTGCTGAGGGAAATTTAAACTCGTAAATAACGATCAGATTAACGTTCAAATTTGGTCGAACGAGCAAATGAATATTGACAAGTAAATATTATTATTTGTAAATGTAAACGATTCCCAACGTTTAATAGGTAATCTTCAGAGTATAATATAATAGAAATTTTATTTATAATATTACTTTAATGATATAAATATAAAGTATAAATTATATGTGGTATGGAACTTAAGGAAGTATTCTACTATTTTTGAAAAGTTTAATTCAAATCTGAATTTCTATAACATTATTTACACACGGTAATACATTAACACTAAACCTACCGACACTTCAAGTATACCCATTCCTACCATGACCAGTCAAATGACCTTCCTTTTTCTCTTTTACGAGGCAACGTACTTCTAATTTTTGCATTATATGTTTAGAAAGTTGTGTTTTGAAGTCTATTCGTAAGACATCTTTGTCTTTTATGTCGCATATTTCAAAAAACCTATACAAAAATATTCAATAATTTTATTTTAAATGTGCATATTTAGTACTTTAACTTCACACAGAAGATTTTCAAACTACGTTGAAATTTTTTAACTTTCATCGGATTGCGGATAAAACGCCCTTGAAAATGAATTTTTTCAAGTCGATACCGTAGCCAGTTCCGGAAAAAATAATTATTTACGAACAAATATTCTGTGTACAAATTTAAATACATTTTCAATTAAATAAACAATTTATAATCCAGTCTTATCGCATACCATACGGCCGTCGCAAGATTGTTGACCGCACGTGCTCGTAGTAAATAGTAAATATTATGTCACTTGGTCACGACTGTCACGATTCACGTGCGAGAAAAAGGTCCAACGCGTTAGATGGAGACAGAAATAGTTGAATTTAAACAATTACCCCTTCATTTAAATTACAATATTTCCAAAACGGAAAATCAGATCGACATAAAATAAATACTATTTCGAAGAGGAAGCTTTACCGCTCCTGACAGTGGCTTAATCGTGAAGAAAATACTAATAATTTCGAAACTGCACACAATTAAAGATTTAATAATTTCAATACGCGTTAGTAGTCTGTTTTAACACGGAAAGAGCCGTAGCAGAATTTTTAAAAAATTACCCCTTTAAATAAATTATGTTATCTCCTAAACGGAAAGTCGAATCGACGTAAGCCAAACCCATTTCAATGTGGAAACTTTACAGCTTCTAACAGTAGCTCGATTATAGAGAAAACACTAGTAGCTGCGGAACTGCACTCGTGTAAAGTTTGACTATTTTCAATACGCGTTAATAGTCTTTTATAAGATGGCGAGTGGAATTTTAAAAATTATTCCTTTAT